GAAAGTGGAAGGCAGTGAGGCAGGTATAATCAAGAGGGCTGTCCTAGCAGATTCCACCACTTCCTTCCCAAGGTGGGAGAAGATAAGGATGACAGAGGATTAAGAGCCAGGACCTTGGCCAGAGGCTGGAAGCTGGGGAGGAAGACGAAGCAGAATGGCCTCGGTGACCCCCAGTCACTTGCATACAGTGTCTATGAGATGACAAGAAGGGCTGGAAGCAGCCCCAAGCTGCAGGACTGGCCATGAGCTCTGTATACGGAGCCCAGGGTCCTCAATGAACAGACACCCACCGGCACACACTTATAGGAAGGAACACAGACACAGGTGTGCACACACCCGGTCATCAGCAGAGCTGCCTGAGCCATTACACATATCCACACAGAGACACACCCATGCACAATTTTCACCCTGTTGTACACACTCATGTATGCATCTGTATACGCAATCACAGTGATTATCGGTGAGAGCAATCAGCTCATCACACAGGTATGTTTAGCAAACATTTTCAGAGCACCTGAGGTCCTTTTTTGGCTGGCTAGAACTACTCGGCAGGGAGGGATCGGCACAGCATCAAGTAGCACGGGAGGATAGAAAAGTCAGTAAAAACACTAACCACAACCAACACCTAGGTGCTGGCATGCAGTGCCACCTGCCGGCAAGAGAGTTTTTTCACTTTGCTTCAAGACTGCTTAACTCAGGATGCTCCTTCTCTGGCATCCACACCGTCCAGGGAAGCTGCCAACCACGGGATGCCTCACTCCTCCTCCTCACTGTATTCTACCGGAGGCAGGTGAGATCCTGGCATCCTTGGAGTCGTACGACAGCATCAGAGATTGGACACCCGGCGCCTCATGTGCCTCCAGGAAAGCAATTCCCAACACCAGGAAGGGGTGGCCAGACAGGATCCATCTCTCATGCCTCCTCCAGCCAGCTGGTATTGCCGTCTGGAATGCTGGATGAGGACTCCGAGGCCATGTCTGGGCTTGGCAGAGAGGGCTATCATGACAGAATAGTGACAGCGCTGGAGCGGTAGGTGGGACAGCTTTCACGCTCCATTTCTGCGGCAGATCCTAGAACCTTCTGACCCACAATTCTGTTGTGAGGATATGCTTGTTGCTCACACTCTTGGCACAAGAAAACTGCCACTCTGACTTTTACTGGCATTTGATCTTTCACTTGGTCGGTAGCTTCTGAGCCAGCCAAAGCCACGCTGGGGGCTTCTTCATGAGGAACTTGTTCTTACTTTCAGAGAGCACATAAGGAGGACTTGTTAGGTCTGAGCTGCTAAAGTCAACACTGGGCAATTTGCTTTCTCCAAACAGAATACTGAACACCCAACCACCTACCAGCACTCCTCACTGCCAGAGAGGCCCCAAGAGGCCAGTGAAAAGTTGGGAACACACAGCCACACTGAGCAGACATTGGACAGCAAGCAAAGCTCATCCCTAGCCACGGCTCCTCCTCCCTGCCCCCTTGGCCATTCGCTTCTTAATTTGGCTCAACTCATATTCATGCATCAACTAAGTACCAAACAACAATACGTCATGAGCCACTAAAAACAGTCAAAACTTGGAATCTTATTCAAGTTAATTGATTTTTATTTTTGAGACAGGATCTTGCTGCACTGACTAGGCTGTCCCCAGATCTGTGGTCTTTCTGCCCCAGCCTGCTGAACTAACTGAGATTACAGGGGACTACAGTTTGGAATCTGAAATCCTCAAATGTCAAGCAAGGATCAGCAGGCACAGAGCTTCCCTGCCCTGCCTCTAGCACTGAAGTTGACTCCTGTCCCCTGAGCTTAGATGGGTGTGACACAATTCACCCCACTAAGGTGTGGGCCAGGGATATTTGCCTTAGCCCATGGGTCAGCAAACTTTTTCTGGGAAGGACTAGATAACAGTTTGGCTTTGCAAGTTCTTGGAATCATTTAACTCTGCTGCAGTAGTTCAAAAGCAGCAGCTCAAAAACATGTAAACTCGTGGAGATGGTGTTTTAAAAAATAGAGTAAAGGTGGGTGCAGTAGCACACACCTGTAATCCCAGCACTCAGGAGGCTGAAAGAGAACTGCCTTGAGTCCAGGGCCCTCCTGGAATACACAGTGAGATTCTGTCTCAGAATACACTGGGTGTGGTGGCACACACCTGTCATACTAGCACTCAGGAGACTGAATCAGGGGAATCACCACAAGTTTGAGGCCAGCCTGGGCTACACAGTGAGTTTAAGTCCAGCCTGAACTACATAGAGAGACCGCGTCTCAAAAACTAAAAGCAATGCTCCCAAACAAGCAAAACAAATCAAAAATAGGCAGTAGGTCAGGTTTCGCTTAACGGTTGCTAGTTTGCCAAATTCCACATTAGCTCAAATCAGGGGTTTTCAAACTGGGTTCCACAGAACTTGTGGTTGTCTGGAAGTGCTTCAGGGAGTCTGCAAGTGGTTGGCCCTAATTTAAGTTGCTCTTAGCTACTTAGGAAGCTACCACCAAAGTGTCCCCACCCAAATATATTCCAGCATTTCAACACCCATGAGCAGTATAGAGAGCCTGGCTGTAGCATCAGACAGACCCGACCCGGAGTCCCAGCACCACCACCTACTTGCTGGGTGGCTTCGGACAAGTTACTTTAACTCCCTAAACCGGCGTGGTGGGATGGCACCAGAGTGGACACTGGCCATGGTGCTGGTGCAGGCTTGGGAAGACAGACTGGTCACAGTGGAGGGGCCAGGGCAGCAGGTCTCACAAGGGACACCAAGGTGGGGCTAATTACCAACTGGTGTGGAGGTATTCTCAGCGCTTCTGCAGTTGGTTTCACAGTATGGGTCCACACCAACTGACAATCATTAGAATGTTGAATCCATCTGGATTTGAATTTCTTCCTGGTTTTTATTTATTTATTTTTCTAGCATGTTCTGTTAAACTCCCGCTGTTCTGAATGGGCTCTTGGGTAGGGCAAGGGGTTGTTTTGCAATGGTCTGGCAGTCTCGTGCTTAATAACAGAGCTTCTGTTCTTCTGGCAGTTCTACTGGGTCTGGGACTTTGATGGCAAGCACGTCCTGGGACCAGTGTGCTGCAGGACCTGGTGCTTTCAGCTAAATGGGTCCAGTGTTCTGGAAGCTGTAGCCCCTCTGCCCCAAGGATGCAGTCTGAGATGGGGCCTGGGGCTTTGGTGTTCATCTGGCTTTTTAATTTCCTGGGGCCACTGGACCTCTCCTCGGCACTTGAGACCACCAGAAGGCCTGTCTGGCTGCCTCCAAAGCCTGCCTCCAGGACATCTGGCCTTTTATGCCAGTTTCTGAAGCTGCTTTTCAGGCTTGAGTTGTTCATCTGTGGTTTCTGTAATAGCATTTGGACCTTTAGTGTCTCCCTACTGCCCAGGGCTGTCTATGTCCATTAATGGTGGCTCCAGTGAAATCCACAGCCTTCACTGTGCCTTATCTTTCTGTTTCCAACATCATATTTTCCTGCTTCCTGAGTGACCTGAAAGGCTCTGTGGTGTTCGTCTCTAGACCCTGGGGGCTGGGCCTCATGGGTCCCAGAATCCCTGGAGTTTTTATTTTAATGAGGTGACAGCTGGCACTGCTCTCAGAGTGCACAGGTCCACTCTGTGAGCCTGGGTTGTGCCTGGCCTTGCAGGTTTCTGGCAGCCACTGGCTTTGTAAGCCCTAGAGGCTCCTCCAAGGGGCCAACTGTGATCCAGGCAGCAGGGGGAACACAGGGCTTCTGTGTGGTCCCAGCAAGAGAAAGAAGACCTTGAAGCTGAGCTCTCTCTCTCTCTCTCTCTTTCTCTCTCTCTCTCCTCTCTCTCCCTCCCTCACGTGTCCTCTCCTTGCAGCTGTTCTTGGGTTACACAGCATCTCTGGGCTGAGTGCTCTGGAGGAAAAGGGCTGGGATGTCCAGGTCACCCTTCACCCCATGCCTCCAGGCTCCTGTCTCTCTGATGGTACCCTTGGCTTTCTTCATAAAGTGCTTGCTTGCAGCTGGGATGCTTGCAGGAGCTGGGCAACTGGTGCACACACAGGTGTCTTTCTTCCCTTTCTTGGTCTTCCTATGGGACCAGCCATCATGCCTCTACCTTTCCTCTCTCTCTTTTTTGGGGGGGTACCAAATTTCTTTATTTGAAGGAATTAAAGAACTTGAGTAGGTGTTTGGTACAATTTATAGAAAAGGTAAAGGTAACCCCAGCATGCACGTGCTGCCTTAGTGACGTTAGCTCTTGTCGCTGTCCCCCAGGGTGTGCTTGTCAAAGAGGTACTCTGCCATGCCGGACTCGGGGGCTCCCATCTTGCACGGGTTGGTCACATGGTCACCCAGCTCTTTAATGACTTTCACCTGCTTGTCCAGGCAGTGAGTCTCGATGAAGTCACACAGATGGGGGTCATTCTTGTCAGTGGCCACCTTGTGCAGCTCCAGGAGTGACTGATTCACGCTCTTCTCCAAGTGCAAGGCACATTCCATTGCGTTCAGCCCTTTTTCCCAGTCATCACGGTCTGGTTTCTTGATATCCTGAAGAAAGACCCGGCCACCGCGCTGGTTCTGCAGCTTCATCAGTTTCTCCGCATGCTCCCTCTCCTCGTGAGATTGGTGAAGAAAGTATTTGGCAAAGTTCTTCAAAGCCACATCATCATGGTCCAAGTGGTAAGACCTGGACAGGTAGATGCAGGAGGCATAGAGCTCCAGGTTGATCTGGCAGTTGATGGCGGCCTCAGCGTCCTGATAGTTCTGGTACACCTGTGAGGACAAGGCGGTGGTCATGGTGGTGGTGGGGAGGCTGGGAGGCTAGGAGGCTGGGCAGCAGTGGCCGCAGTGAGGGCACGGTGAGGGCGGGCGAGTGCCGGGCTCCATCCAAGCACTGTTGAAGCAGGAGGCTGTGGCAACGCTTGGTGGAGGACTGCCTTTCCTCTCAAAGGGCCACAGCTGCTCAGCGAAGGAGAAGGCTGGTCCACCAGGACATCAGGTGCTCCCTGGGAAGTGGGGAAGAAGGCATTCCTGCAAGAGTAGAAGAGTCGCTGGCCTAACTTAGGGAGGGTATTTCATCCCAGAATCCCAGTGACAGAGCGCTCAGGCCTCCACGGCAGCTCTGACTGTATCCACAGTGGAGAATTTTGCTACTGTGCATTCAGCAACTTCTTGTCTGAGCCATCAGTGCCTCAGTCCCTTAAGTCTCAGATCAAGCCTCTGATACCTCCCACTCCACCCAGGCGGCACCTTACCCTGGGCTCAGGCTGCACAACTGCCCGTTCACACGCTGGCCCTTCTCCCCCTGCATGTCTGGGGCACAGACTCTCCCACCTTTCTCCACTGGCAGAGCTGCCTAAGGGCACAGCAGGATGCCATGACTGGGGCTTTGAGAGCCGAGATAGAGGTTGGCTGGCAGAACAACTGAACTTTGGTGAAAAACTGAGGCAAAAGGAAATGCTGCACTGACAGCCACAGAATCTCCTCCCCAGGAAGAGCCTGCAGTGCCTCCTCCTGGCAGAAGGAGAATTTGCACAACGGCCAAATCACTCCACTGGTTCCTTTTGGCAAACCTTGCACCTGGCCACTGAATCCTGATGGCAGAGGTCAGTATAGCACGGGAAGCAGGTAGGTCATCTTGTCCTGTGGTTTGCAAACATAAAGAGTTAAAGACAGATGTTTGCCCATTTGACATAGGCCTCTAGCTGAGGGGTGAGTGGGGCTGTGTACCTTGGTGATGAGGGTATGTAACCCAGCATGGGACTGGGTCAGGCCGGAAGAAGGGTCATCTTTCCCCTAGAAGGGTGCCCTTCTGTAATCTGCACAGCTGCCATGCATACAGCAGCCCTGCACACAATGCCTCCTTCAAAGGGCCATCTTATAAAAACCAAGCCTTGCTGGCTAAAGGAGAGTTTGAAAACTACCTAAAACACGGGGAAACTGAGGCCCATGAAGGGGAGATACCCAGAATCATGCTGCTTGTGCTAGGGCAGAGCTCAGACATCAGACTCTCCCTCTCTCCAACAGTGTTCTTTGAGCTACACGGAGCTGGTTTCTATCTCAAGCTCCTTTTGAGGCATCTTTCTCTTTCTGAGGCTTGTTGGGTCCTCCTGCCCAAGTCTCAGCGCCTCTCCCTGAAATCTAGCTACTCCGCACTGTCCCGGCCGGGACTATGGCATAGTGTTTGCCCAAAAGGAGGAACGGTGAGAATGCTGGCCCAGACTATGGAATTTCCTTCAAAAGCCTCACTCAGGGGATGAGAGCAGACATGCAGGAGGCCAGGATGGTGGGGAACTGAGAGGTTCACCAGACAGGGAACCTGGAGCAGACAGCTCGGCTACTGTGCAGGTGGAGCTGGCTTTACAGGTGCAGTTCGCTGGGGTGTCTGCGCCACACCATAAGGCACATGTGCGGCCACAGTGCCCATCTCCTGAGCCCCAGCCACATGGAACATCTGGTCATCAAAGAAGATGTGTGGGCGGATCTTCTCAAGGAGGGGGCCCTTGGGCGCTCCAGCTAGGAACAAGGCCTCATCCGTCTCCAGGCCCCAGCTGCGCAGGGTCTTGAGGGCTCGGGCCCCGGAGCTGGCTGCACTCCGCGCTGTCACTAAGTAGGTGCGAATTGGGCACTCCAGCCGCAGACCCTTGGAGTAGAACTTCTTCTGCAGCCTACCCAGGGCCTCCAGAAAGCCCTTTAGGGGGCCCTAGGAGAAGGCAAGGGAACATAGTGAGCTCAGCTCTCCCGAACATTTGCCCCTCTCCCTGGAGCATCAGTGTTCTGCTGGTTGGGGTAGAAAAACCTCTCAGGACCCCTAATTTCCCAGCAGTTCTGCTGCACTTGCTTGGGCTCCCATGTGCATCGGTAGAGCTGTAAAGACCTGCAGTCTGGGGTCCATCTTACCGTGACTGGGGCTGTGTCACAATAACCACAGCAGGGCCACTGTTGCTGTGCACGTCCATCTGTGTCCCTATCTGCACGTCTGTCTGCACTTCTCTAAGTGTGGCCTTCTGTGGCCACCGCAGGGAAGATACTGTAATTAGTAACTACAGCACATGCACCTCCCAGTCAGAATGAACTCCAACCGTAGATACGTGGGCAGATGGGCCGATGTGTAACTGCTGAATGCAAACCTGCTCATGGACACACAGCTGGCTCAGGGGGTCCGGCCCGAGCTCTCTAAGGTCAAGGAAAAGTGTGTTTTTCTCTCTGTGGTGCCCAGAAATTGAAGCTTAACAAGGACATGTGAGCAAAGAGCCAGAAGGTGATGAAGAAAAGGCCCTGGGTATCTCAGGGAGGGCAGCTGGAAAAATAGGGAAAGGTGGGTTTCTTGCTTTGGAGACCTGTTCCTTGATGGGTGACCTGGAGCCAGCTGTGGTTTCTTTTGCCTGTGACAAGCACTTAGTGGGGAAACTGGCTGGCCCTGCGTGTCTGGATTCTTGTGCAAAGCTCCCAGGAGAGCTGGAAAACCACACAGTGCTATCCCCAGGGAATCTCCACCAAGCTCCAGGACATAATCCACTCTTAGGAGGCACTGGTCAGCCTGAGGGTTCGTGAGGGTCCCTGAGCCCCCTGACCCAAGCATGGCCGGAGGTGGTCCAAGCAAAGGATCTGCTCCAGCCTCTGCCTGCAGCGGGATCTCCCTGCCCAGAGAGAGTGCCACCCAGCACTTTCTGTCCTTCAGGGAGGGACACAGGAGCTGCTGGGGAGATAACTTCTTAGGGGCTGGTGGATCCCAGAAAGAGGGTGAGGATTCCCGAGACAGGACAGTGGCTTTGGAGAGAAAGAGGATTCAAAGGGTCGGGGCTGAGGAAAGAAGAAGGCTTGGGCGGGGGACATGTCCGAAAGGGACTGGAGCTGCTGAGAGGGGGAAAGGGCTCCAGAGAGGGGCTTAGAGGGACAATGGAGGCTTCAGGGGGAAGGACTTCAGTGGAGGGGACGGGGACACAGGATGGGAGCCAGAAGGAGGGCCTGAGGCTTAGTGAGGGGATCCGAGGTACTCTGAGCTGACCCCAGCTTGGTTCTGGGAAACAGGTGTGTAAATATATGTATCTCTAGGACCACATGCGGTACCTGGGCCAAAGGTTTGTTCTCATGGGCCTTCTCATGCTCGAAGAACCTGTCCAGCCCGTGGGCCTTGAAGATGCGCTCTGACTCATCCGAGAAGAGTACGGCATCTCCATCGAAGGCCACACGCAGCTGCGTCTGAGACACAACCACATCCTTGCTGGGGCTGAAGATGGTGGCAGCGGCGATCCCTGGGCAGAGAGAAGCAAGCACTATTTGCCTTCAGGCCGGGCAATAGGGCTCCCTGCCTGGTGCAAGAGAGAGCAATCTCTGTCCCTGCCCTAGCTGCTCCTCCAGGACCCAGGGAAAGGCTGACAAAGGCTAGTACTAAGTTATCTAAAACCCAGCAGTGTGCATGGACACTGGCCATAAGAATAGACAGGTGCCAGGCATGGTGGGGCATGCCTATAATCCCAACTCTTTGAAGGCTGAGGCAGGAGGATCGCCATGAGTTCAAGGCCAATCTGGGCCATGTGGAGAGTTCAAGGCCAGCCTGAACTACATAGCAAGACCCTGTCTCAAAAACAAAAACAAAAAGCAAAAAACAAACACATAAAAAAAATAAATGAACAGAAGCCAGAACTTTAAGACAGGGCTTTGAAGGCCCTTGCCTATTCCTGGGCCTCCCCTAAAATTGATGCTTTATGGAGAGGTCTGGGGCAGTCTTTGGGGAAGGAGGATATTCTGGGGGCTCAGGCAGTAGCTACTTAGCAAAGTGTGAAGGTGTCAGTACTTCACTACCTAGTAAGATCATGCTGATGAGGACCAGCACACGGCAGTCTTGGAGAAAGGGTCCCCCAGGCCACGGCTCTGCTCATGGATCTATAGGCGGGCTGGAAGGGACCCCATTCTGGCTGGGCCACAATCACCTCTGACTGCTGTCTCTGGCAAATCACTGACCTTCTCCAGGCCAGGGTAAAATTCAGGGCCACGCAGCTCTGTGTGAGCCCCGTGTTGCCACAGTGGCACCCAGCTACACCCCACTCAGGGCAGCCTGCCCACTCGGGAAGGCAGCCACATCTGATTGTGTGTGCAGTTTCTCCAACCAGGGCTCACAGGGGGCAAGGACACCTGCCAGGGTCCAGGCTCCAGCTGCCCTGGACACCAGAGTGCCTGGCAGCTGGCTGAGTCTGTCCTCTGTCTTCATCTCTCCCCAAAGGCCACTTCTGCCCTGAGTGTAGGGAATCCAGGTGGGACCTCTGCAAAGTGTGGAGAGGAGGGAGCAGGATAAGCCTCACCGTAACTTCACTAGCCCAAGGGTGCCAGGGAGGACGAGGCCATGAGCATCAGGCCAGCCACCTTCTCAGCTATGCCAAGCCTATGCTCAGCAGGGCTCCCACTCAACCACAGCCCTGCTCTCTGACTGAGGTCAAGCCATAGACACACAGAGGAACAGCTATGTGCCAGTGTCCCGGCCCCAACCAAAGGATGTGACATCTGTCAAGGCAAATGGCTTCTGGCCTCTGGTGAAAGAAAGCCTCGCAGAGCTCCCTGTAGGTTAGGAGAGTGAGACACTGGGGGTGTGGCCTGGCTTCCAAGCAGGATATAACATGAAAGAAACAGAGAAAAGTTATACACTGTCACTTGTGTTCAGCCAAGGAATCTGCTTAGACAGCAGGGCTGTCTTTCCTCTTCTGTGGGCCTGTGTGCAATGAGACACACAGCCCGAAAGGAGGACTGAGGCTATGGCTGCCACTCAAAACTGCACCTTGGAAAGGCAGTGGATGGAACTCCTCTTTGTCAGTGTTTGAAGCTGGGTCTCCTAACCTCACTTCAATACCAGCCAACCCAGCTTCTGGAAATACTGACCATTTCCCAGAGCGCACTGCTCAAGCTGGGCAGGATGTGGTTCCCTCTTCCCATTGGCCTAAAGAGAGAGGCAGAGGCTGCCCACGTTCACACAGGAGTTACAATTCCTACTGACCTGGAGGAACTGCAGAAGGAGGGTTCCCATGGAAACAGAAAGCTGTGTTGTTGATGAGCAAATGCACCCTTACCCCAGTGAGGAAGGAAGTGGGAGGTGGAGTGGGCAGGGCCTCGTTTTCAGAGTTTATAAGGCAGATCATAGGAATTTATCCACAAACCTCCTCCAATTACCACAGCAACCCCCAGCACCTGTGCAGAGAGGTAGGGCCAGGCCTCCTACCTCCAGGGCCCAGTGGCTGGACTTTTCATGTTCTCCCTCCTCGTTTTGACTCACCCTCATTAATGGCTTCTTGCACTTTTTTCGCATCAGCTGACAAGTAGAGGTTGGTGTGATAGGCCTTGAGGTAGCAGATGGGGCTGTTCCCACCTGTCATGCAGAACCTCTCAATGAACAGATCTGGGGAGGAGACAGAGTATCCAGGTGAGGCCAAGGCCAACCTCAGGGTCCTAGAATGATCTCTCTGTACCTAGCAAGTGCCATCATGGCTCTGAGGGGCGGAGAGGGCAGTAGAGTGATTCTCTGTGATTTCAGGCCAGTGTTGCCCCCCTCCCCCGAGTCCCTCCATCCTTCATCCACGAGATAGGAATGATCACAGCTCTGGGAGCCACGCCCTGGCTCTCAGTAATCCCCTCATATCAGGGAATCACATCCAAAGATAGGTCCTAGGGCCATCAATGGAGACCCCGCTTCCTGGCTACAGCTGACTGGACAGGGGCAGATCCTGCCTCACCCAGCCGAACCAATCAGATTCCCTCCCAGCCTAGGCTGACAGGTAGCAGTCCCCATGGCAGTATAGGTTATGAAAGATTTGCTGGTTGATACATGGCTGCTGTCCCGAGCCCACTGAGTAACCCAGGACCCTGAGCTCCTCACAATGCATCCTAGAAGGGCGCCTGCACTGGCACATTGTGGTGTCTGTCCCTACTGCTTAGCACCTGTTATATAGGCAGTCAAGTTTCTTTTGTAGCGGGGAGATATCGGGAATTGAACTCAGGAACTTGCACTTGCCAGGCAGGCGCTGTGCTGCTGAGCTATATCCCTGACTATATATATATATATATTTCTTTTTTTGAGACAAGGTTTTGCTCCATAGTTCAGGCTGGCCTTGAACTCAGTGTGTAGCCCAGGCTATCCTCGAATTCCTCGCAATGCTTCTGCCTCAGCCTGCTGAGTGCTGGGATTACAAGCGTGCATCACTATGTCTGGCAACAGTCAAGTATTTTTAATATCACCACTCATTCCAGGAGTTTAAAATTAGTGTTAAAAAATGCCAGCTGGGGGGGTAGGGGTGTAACTAAGTGATAAAGCACACGCTTAGCATGCTTGAGATCCTGGGTTTAGTCCTAGCACCCAAAATAAATAAATAAAATCAGGTGTATTACACTTTCTTGGGCACTGAAAGCAAGGTCTTATAAGCCTTTATAAAGATAGGTCTCTTCCCAAATTGGATTTCCCTGTTTTTCTTGGTTTTGTATTTAGAAAAGCACAGAAATCCAGTTTGGGCAGAGAGAAATAAATAAATAAATAAATAAAAGAATGAACTTGCTACCGATGCACAAGTAAAAGCTCATGTGGCCCCAGAAGAGAAGAGCCGAAGGAGATGTCCAGGCCTTGGGTTAAGGCCTTTCTGGGTCCACCTTTACTTCCTGCCCTGTGGTTCCCAGGAGCAATTTCTCTCTCCAGTTGAAGCTAGCTCTGGGGGACCTGCGCTTGCAGCCACAGGAGCCCTTTCACTCTGACAACTGCCTCTGCCTCTCCCAGCAGCCTCGTGAGGCCTGCTGGGTCATCACAGGAAGGGAGGCAAGGCACACAGGCAGCCAGTGCCCTGCCCAGGTACAGGGAGTGGGCCCTGTGCAGTGTGTGCTGCAGCTGGCTTGTAAGATCTGACGGTGAAACACTCTGGGATTTTCTGAGCTAGGTGTCTTGATCAACATTAATAGCTTGAAATCAGCCGTGATAGACCTATTTATACCTGAAAACCGGCAACGCTTGAAATCAAGAGTTTTGTTCATTTGGTTTTTTTAAGGGCCAGTTTACCAGTGCCCGCCGCCAGGGGGCGCAGGAGGGTCACCCCTAGTCCAGAGCTCTCACCCTCACCGTAGTGGTTGATGCTGTTGATGAGGCGGACTCCCACTTGAGCGTGGTTATTGGTCATGAGGACGATGTCGAAGATGTCCTCGCTATCGGGGTACAGCTCACGGAGCCGCCGGTTCACAGCCTCCAGGGCCTGGAAGGCAGGGTAGTGGGCACCCTCTAGCTCTGAACCCCCAGGTTGGACACCTGGGACCGGGCTTGGGATGAAATCAGGGCACTTGTACTACCTCCTAATTCCACTCTTTGCCATGGCGAGGGGAGCGCTTGTTGCTCAGGGGCACCTCACTATAGGGGAGAGCTGCATCAGTCCAGAGGAGGAGTGCCCTCTTCTTCCCACAAGGGCTGCGCCCCCCACCCCCCGCCAAGCCTGACCCCTGTCGGGTTGCATTGCTCAGAGGGGACCTCTTTTCCTTACTCAGATACCCACAGGGGTTCTTTCCTCTCTCCCCACCAAGGCACGGGGTGGGCTGCTGCTGGACCTGCCCCTCACCTTCACAAAAGGGAAGGCTGGCCCCGGGCTGAAGGGCTCGTTCTCGTGCTCCAGCTGGTAGCGCACATACTCCTCCACACCCCGCTCCTCGAAGATCCTCTGCTCCTCCTCCATGCGGAACAAGGCTCGGGAAGACACAGCGATGGTGATTGCATTCTGAGGCTTGGGCTGCAGAGGGGCGGGAGGACGTCACTCAGACACTCCCTGAGGCAGGTGCTCATGTGCAAGCCCCTTTGAGCACTGGGGACTTGGAGAAGACCTGGGCCCAGGCTCAGCTGCAAAGAGGCTCATCCTTGGGCAGGGGCAGACTTTAGGTTTGCATCCACACAGAAGCCAGCTGGGGACTGAGGTGGAGGATGACTCCCCACTTAGAAGTGCGATCTAAAGAAGGGCCATGCCCTAGGGAGTTTGCAATGTAGGTGGCCATCTGGACACGAAGGAGAAACGAATACAGGGTACATGCGCAAAGTATGACTGACGCTTGAGACAATCTCCAGATGGCTACCATTATGAAATGAGAGCCACATGCCCTTAGGAAGAAACTGGTGCCCAGAAACATGGCGATCACATAAGAAAATTTATCTCTTGCCCAGAGCTGTCTCCTGAGCTCCAGACTCACATATCTAACTGCCCCAGTCCACTAACAGACACTCCAGCGCACCACGGTCAACCCTGAATCCCCACCACTTTCTCCACCCCTAAGCCCAATCCTTCCCCATTTTCCTCATCCTGGACCCAACACCGACATCCACCCACCCGGACCTCTGCTGGATGAGTGGACAGCACCACTACCCGCACAAGCAGCCGCGGCAGCTCAGCTCCTCACTCTTCCTCAACTCCCTCCCTCTCCAATCATCACCCAAGCCAGTCCACGCCACCGGAGTCCATCCGCTTCTCTCTCTTCTGCTTTCCATAGTCCAGAGTCGCCATCATCTCTCACCTCCTCCAACTTCCCACCCACGCTACTGCCAGGGGATTCTTCTCAAGTGCAGAATGCTCACAGCCCGCCTCTTCAGCAGGGCCCGCTCTCCTCAGAATTAAGCTGGCAGCCTTTAGAGTGGAGCTGGAAGCCCTTCGCAACACACTCCCACTTCTCTTTCCTCTCCGCTTCCCCTTCCCGGCTTTGCTCAATCTGACCTTTCTCACATCAGTGTACACTGCCCATCCCCTTCCTCCCAGCCTTTGCACACAATGTCGACTTTCCCCAATATGCTATTTCTTGTTCTATCTTCCTGGCTACCTTCTGCTTAACCTTCGGCTCTGAAATTAGATTCACCTCCAGGAAGGCTGCCCTCACCATAGTCTCCATTTGACCCCCATCCTATGGATTTCATCCTTAGTACAATTTAACATTAAATTAGAATTGCTTCATTATTTCTCTTTCTAGGCAGAGTTCCAGGGAGGAAGTAGGAGACCTGTTTACATTGTGAGAGAGCAGGTGCAATATGCTGTGTATCGTGGTCCTTATTCTAGCGCTAGTGCTTAGGTCTATGCCTGGCATGGAGCAGCACTCAGCAAGCCTTTAATGCCTCTGAACTTTTAAGATAGTCTGGTATATGTTTAATATATTCATGAAAAAGTGCATGCAAAGACAAACTTACCATGAAATAGAAACTCCAGATTGGAACCCCCCCTCATCTGTTCTGATTATTTGACATGTATTGCAGTGTTCAGAGAATATCTTTTTTGGTTGATGTAAATTTGACCAACATTTATTGGTTCTTTGTGTCAGGCACCTGGAAAGCTAGTTATTGTCCTTGGAGTTCACAGGCTGGTGGAAAAGACAAGGAAACAGAGAACTAACTCAGAGACAAATGCTGAAGCAAGGTCTTGATGATACAGCTTCTGGGGAAGTTGTCAGAGGAAAGGCCTTTGAGTGGAGCCTTCAAGGAGGAGCAGAGCGGAGGAAGGGAGGAAGAGGCAGTTGCAAAGGCACCAGAGCCCAGGGCATATGGGGGAGGGTGTCACTGAGCCACAACCTAGATTGCAAGAGGCCTTTTCAGGGACCCGAGAGGGCCTTAGAACTCCTTCCCCATCACTATGCTTGATTGTTTGTGTCCCCCTAAAAATGTATATACTGAGACCTAGCCCTCAAGGTGGTGGTATTAAGAGCTAGGGTCTGCGAGCAGTGATTAGGTTGTGATGAGCTTAGTTTCCTTATAAAAGAGACCCCAGAGAGTTTGACCTGGGACAAGCACATTCTCCTCCCACCACATGAGGACACAGCTTGAAGGTGCCATCTTTAAACCAGAAAGGTCTCTTGCCAGACACTCGTCTGTTGGGGCCTTGATCTTGGGTTTCCAGCCTTTAGAACTGTGAGAAATAACTTTTTGTTGTTTACAGAATAAGCCACTCCATCTATGGCACTTTGTTATAGCAGCTTGAAGGGACTAAGACACCCACTTCTGACAGAATGAGAAGTATGCCCCACTGCAGGCAGAAGCTGCACCCTTTATAATCCCTGGGCAACTGCTGAATGTGGGTACACAAGGGGCTCACGGATTCCCAGGGAGTCCCACCAATCCCTGCGACCTGGCAGCTCTAGAACCATGATTCCTGCTTTACAGAAGAGAGGGGACTCAAGTGGAGGTCAAGACTTATTAGGGGGCCTTGTTTTCTGGCCTTCATTGAGAGCCTTGTGTGCCACTTACCCGACCCCGCTGCTTCTTTGGGGCACAGCCTGGGCTCCAATCAGCTGACAACTCTGATGAGTTACCATGTGACAGACACCTGCCGGGGACACTGCAGGAAACAATGCAGGTTTGATCCCGGCCCCTGTAGAGCTTATGATGCACCCCCGTCACACAGATTGGTACCATCCTCCAGAAAGCACTGTCCAGTGGAACTTCTGTGATAATGGAACGAATGTTCCACAGTGTGTGAGACTATAGAGCAACTTGAGATGTGATTAGTGACACTGAAGATCTGAGTTCTTAATTTCATTTGATTTTAATGAATTTAAGTAGCTACGTACGGGCAGGGGCTAGTAAACTCTACAGCCTTAAAGTAGAAATAGAAAAGTGCAGAATTCCTTAAGGTTGGTGGCTGACCTCAGTTTACATGTGGCTTTTAACCCCAACCAAGAAGGTGCGCATGCCCTGCAGGACCAGTGTAAGGCAGTGGGGGAACAGGTACACTTCCTCCGAGACTCAGCCCAAGTGCCTCGCCCCATGCTGACCATGACTGTGTGTCTGTGCGTCCTTGGGCCAGGCACTTCCCAACCCCATCAGCACCTGTGGGCCTTCAAGCAAAGTCATAAGCCCCAAAGGAAAGGGGTGGCAGAGGGATGGCAAAGGATGGCCAGGGCAGGCTCAGAGGTGTTGGAGAGATCTACTCCCGCAAACCCAGGAAGCGGGTGGGTCTTAGATGGGGCTGAACTTGTCACCCCCACCCCAACCCCAGCCTCCTGGGCTTACTGGCCTGAGATAAGCATATCCTCCTCCTCAAGGTCAGAGCCAGTTGCTCTCCAGCCCCTCCAGGCAGGTTCCCAAGCCTGCTGCTCTGGCCCAGGCAGCCAGCCAGCATCTCACTCTCCACTTTCTGTCCCACATACATGCCTGAATGCTGAGTCCTGGGCCCCCTCTGGCTGAGCTACTCAGACCCCAACCCGGTCTATCCTCGCAATTGCAAGAAAAATGTCTTGGCTGCCTTGGCCCCAGAAGGCTTTACTTCCTTCTTTTACAGATGGGGATATAGGCCCACAGAGGGGCAAGATACTACCCTATGTTATACAGCGAAGTCAAGGCCAGGCTGATACAAGATCCCAAGTCTCGGCCTTCTAGCCTGGACTCTGTCCACATGGCAGTCCCCCTGTTGCGGCCTTCCCCAAAGCTGCCTCTGTTCCTTCAGCGGCTTCCCCAGCCTTCCCACCCAGATTCAGGAGCAGCGGTGAGAGGCACCATGCTCCCTCACTGTGTGGTCTCAGACCCCGGCACACTCTCTCCCTTAATGGAGAAGAAAGGGCAGGACCCAGCTGGGACTACAGATCCCAGCTGGGATAGGTAAATGGCTGTCCAGGCTCTGGGGGGCCTAGGGAACAGGTAAGGAGCTAGCCAGAACTAGGAGAAGCTAAGCCACAGAGACATTCCTGTGCCCCGTCAGGTCTCTGTCGCCAGGCCCTGTGTGGTCAGGTGCACCAAGACCAGCAAGGAGCCCGTATCCAGCTGGGAATCAGGTCAAAGCAACCCACGGGCTCAGCCTGGGAGCGCTGGGCTCCAGGCAGCCAGGATCCTGCCAGCTCTCTGCCTTGCACTGGGCTGAGGCCCAGGCTGACCATGCTGGCTTTGGGGTGGAGATGGAAGAAAAACAGAGGCACCCAGACCCCTCGGCTCACCCGAGAAGCTCCCATCGCATTCCCATTCCGACCAACATGATTCTGCCTACTGCATACAAGATAGGAACAGATCCAAAATGCTGTTATTCCTGGATAGACTCAGAGAGAGAGCGGCTGTGGGGGAGAAAGCGACAGGGCAGCTCTGGATAGAGAGTCCTCTAACCCCGTGATGTGCAGGCCTCCAATGGGTCTTCACTTGGGTAAATATTTCACTCAGGCTCCTGGGAATGAGAACAACACCAGGCCAGGTCCTGATATGGCCCATGAGGCCTACAGCCCCCAAAATAGCCTGTGGGAAGACTGCAGGGAGGAACAGGAGCCAGAAAGCCTCCAGGTTCCTTGTGTCCTAAAGAACCACGAGAGCCAGGGCCTGACCAAAGGGCTGGGCCTGAGCTTTCTGCTTCCTTGGTGCCTGGGAGGAAAAGGATTTTGAGCACCAAAGCATTCACTGTTCCAGGCTGTAGTGTCCACTGCCTCCTCTCCACCCCTCACTGTGACAGTGGCCCGGCTCTGCCTTCTCATTAGCACACGGCTGCTCGGCCCACCCGTCACAATTCATTTCACAAAGAGCCCAGTGTGATCTTTCTAAAATGAAAATGGACCAAGTTAATCCCCTGCTCAAAAATCCTGCAACAGCTCCATAATGGTCTTCATGTTTATTTTTTAAAGTAGGTTGACCGTTCGTTCCTATGACTTCTTAGGCAGAACCCCAATATGTAAGGCAGATATTACCATATATAATTGGTATGGCTGTTTTACAAGTTCAAAAGTATGTTACAAATAAATGTATAATAAAGTGAACCACTGAAAACAACACAGTTGTTTAGATGGCCTCAAATCTGAAGCTAGCACAGTCTTAAGCTTCAGCATCCAGCTAATTCATTTTTGTTTGTTTCTGCAAACTATCGAGAAAGTCCTGATTCACTCTGAGGAGTGGTTGCAAATGGGAAGAAGTTTTTTTAAAGTTTTGTTTTCAATTACAAATCCTGGAATTCTAAGGTGCTCTTTTATTAACTGAATCACAGGAAAAGCTTTATTTTGGGGTTTACTAAAAAATAATCTGCACTACAAGTTAGTAGTCTCCAAGGTGCTAAAACATCCAACAAACACATCTAAATATTATTGTTTAAAATATAATTTGATTTCTGAACAGAACACCAATGGCACAAGAAATAATACTGAGAATCAACAAATGGGGTCGCATCAAATTAAAAAGCTTCTGCACAGCATAGGAAACAACCAATAGAGTGAAGAGACAACCCACAAAATGGGGAAAGAATTTTGCCAGCTATTTCTCAGATAGAGCACTAATATCCAGACTATATAAACAACTCAAACAAATTAGACCCCCCAAATAAACAACCCAATCAAAAAATGGGCAAACAAAATGAATACACACTTCTCAAAAAAAATACAAATGGCCAGTGAGTACATGAAAAAGTATTCCACATCGCTAGGCATTAGATAAGTACAAATTAAAATGACACTGAGATTTCATTGTATTTCAGACAGAATGGCTACCATCAAGAAATCAAATAACAGGGCTGGGATATAGCTTAGTGGCACAGCACCTGCCTGGCAAGCACAGGTCCTGAGTTTGATTCCTAGTACAAAAAAAAAAAAAGAAATCAAATAACAATTGCTGGTGAGGCTAGAGGTAGGGAGGAACTCTTCTAAATTGTTGGTAGGAATGTACAACCATTATAAAAATCAATAAAGAGATTCTTCAAAAAACTGAAAGTAGATATTCTATTAGACCTAGCTATTCCCCTTCTAGGTATCTTGCTGAAAGTTAAAATCATTACACTACAGTAATACACACATACGTATGTTTATAGCAGCACAATTTATAATAGGTAAATTTTGGGAATGGCCTATGTGCCCACTGACAGATGAAGGGATAAAGAAAATGTGGTATTTACACACAATAGAACACGACTCTGCCATAAAGAACAATAAACTTGAGTAGGCAAAAGATGCCTTGAGACCATAATATTAAATGAATCAGACACACAAGCTTAAATATCCCAGAGTTTCTCTTCTATGAGAAATTCAAGATACAAATAAAAAGCAAAATAAAAAATACATAATAGGAAGTAGAGCCATCTTTTTCAAATGGGAAGGAGAACAACAGATGGAAGGAGGGAAGAAGGAAGGAGGAGAAAGGGATTGAAAAGAAATGAATTAAAGAAGAAAACGGAGGTGGGTGTCATGGCACACGCCTGTAATCCCAGCACTTGGGAGGCTGAGGCAGGAGGATCATTGCAAGTTCCAGGCCAGCCTGGGCTACCTAGTGGGTTCAAGGCCAGCCTAAATTACATAGTGAGACCCTGTCTCAACAAAACAACAAAAAGAAAAGAAAAGAGAAAGAGAAAGGAAGAAAAAAATGGAAATAGATCTTCTGCAAATGGGAAGAGGATCAAGAGTTGGAAGAAGTAGGGGCAATGGGAGGGGTAGGGGATGAAAAAAGATGCGTTGTGCCTATTCCCCAACTCCCCACAATGAATGTGATCATTATGTACTGCAAACATGCACTAATAAAAAATAAATTTAAAAATACAAGTAACTAGAAGAAGAAAATACATTAGACTCACTTGTCTACAGACCATCTGAAACACGGGTTCCACCCAATCTAGTTTGAAAACCTCAACTCCAGTGGAGGTTCAGGCTCCTTAACAAGGGACTCCTGGCTCTCCTATAGTGGGGTGCTTCCCCCACCCTCCCACCTCTCCCCCAACAAGCCCACCTCCTCCTACTCAATACTGATTCCCTAACAGAGCCCTCCTTCTTTCCACCCGTCTTGTTTCCCTCTGCCTGGAAAGCCCCAGCTACTGAGGCGTTAAGATCAGCTCCTGAGGCTGTCTCCACAAGGCCCTCCCTGCAGGCAGTCGCTCCTGCTCTGCGCTCCCGCTGTGCTGTGTAGCACCTTTTACCTGGGCACCCACCATCTCCAGAGTCTCCATTGGTGCGCTGTGACCTTCTGAGACAAGGGTATGGCTCAATTAATATGTCAGTCCCCAGGCGTGAGCCCAGGTCTGGAGGGGTCCCAGGACTGACAGCCAGATGCTTGGAGGCCAGACGGGAGGTCTTTGGAGGCTGCCTCGGTCCTCAGTTCCTTCCCCAAGCTCTGAGATCTGGGAAACCCGAGGGAACAAGCCCAAGGACGGACCAAGTCATCGCGAACTTGTCCCACAGGAAAGAGGCGCTCTTCGCTGTGTGCGAGATCTCAGAGGGCTGATGCCAGCACAGAGGTCGCCAGGATGTCACTGTCCACTGCAGAGGAGAGCAGCGCTCGCCGCTGCAGGGGGAGCCCAGTCCCGGGAGCGCAGAACCAGGGTCGCAGAGAGCGAGTAGCAGGAAGCGCTGCGCCAGTAGCCTGGTGACCGGGCCCAGGCCAGAGGCCGAGTGCAGGCGCTGGAGGACCCGCGCGCCCGGTGAGGGGCCAGGTTTCCAGAGTCGGGTTACCCAAGCCCGGGCGCCTTCGCCAACAAGTGCGTTCCGCGCGCCCGGCTGCCGGCGCGGGGAGGGCTGCGGCGACGGCGGCCCGGAGCTGGGTCCCGGTGACGGTATGGGGGAGGGGTGCTGGCGTGGAACCCGAGCCCGGGGAAGAAAGCGCCGTCACCACCACGGCCAGAGCAGAGCTCCCAAAATAAACCCCACGCCAAGCCAAGCGCCGGCGCACTCGGGGTCTGAGGACTGCGCCCCCTCCCGGAGCGGCGCCGCAGGTCCCTTCTCCGGCGGCGACCCCTGCCTGGGAGTGACCCTTTCTCCGCCCGACCCCAAGACCCGTCGCCCCCTCTTACCGATTTGGGTTTCTTCTTGGGAGCGGGGTTGTCATGGAAAGTCTTCGCCTTCTCCCAGGGCGGGGCCGCGGCGGTCTCTGCCCCAGGCCGGGGCTCGCGGGGCTCCCGGGGCTCCCCCGGCTGCATGCTCAGTCTGGCCCGGCCAGAAGGGGCGGGAGGGCGCGGGAAAGCGGGCTCCGAGTCGTCCGCGGTCGTCTGTGTGCTGCTGCCGTGCGTGTTTCGGGGGACTGCTGGGCTCTGCGTGCCCGACCGAGCAAAGCCCGGAAAGAAACGGGAGAGGTCCCGGAGGAGGGGGCTTGACACCCAGCTGGTAGCTGCTGCGGACTGGACTCCGGGTGGTAGGGGTGCAGCTCGAGGGTACCGAGAGAGCAGAGGCCTCACCACTTCTCCCCCAGGGATAGTGATCCCCAAATTAGAAAATAAAAGCTAGAAACCTCCTCCATCCCAAAAGAAAAGCCCACAGAAAAACTAACTGTCCCTCTGTCTCGGATACCAGGACCCTGAGATCCTGAGCAGACCTCAGCGCATCTGCCGGAGCGGGGGGAAGTGTCGGATGGACAGCTCCGTCCCCGAGTGAGAGCAAGTGGAGGGCAGGTCGTCCACACCACGGCGGAGGAACCTTTTAAGTCTATGGTGACACTATGTCCCCTTGGCCTTGCCAGGGGCCCAGACCCCGGAGGACACCCAGGGACGCCGCACCCAGATTCTTGCTGGCCACCTTGGTAGCCAGCAGAGGGCGCACGTTCCCAGGTCCCACCAGTCTGGCTTGGAACATGTTTCCAAGGGGTTACAGGCCCACGAGGAATGTAATAATTCTGCAAGGGTGTACCAATGAAAATAAAAATTAAAATAAGAAACGGCTGGAAGGAAGCAGGGTAGAAGTGGGGCCTCTGAACCAAAGAATTTTAGGCCATCATTTTGGAATTATAGGATATTGGCGCAGAGTTGTACCACGGCTATCACCCGTCCCAAGGAACAAGGCCCAGAAGCAACGTCTCTCAGAGGTGTGCAGGGGTGGAGGGTGCTGTGGTGGTGAAGGAGATGGGAGAGTAGCAGAAGAAACACTAGACAGGGGAGCCTTGGTCTGGGAAAGAGGTGTAGAATGGAGGAGTCTGTACGGCCTCCACCAGGTCCTGGGAGGGACAAATCACACGTGGGAGGAAGGGAGAAATAACAATGATTAAAAAGTAGACCTGTCCTTCTCCTGACCTGGTAGAAAATTTTTGGGAACGATCCCCAAGCCTCTCCTATCTTGCCTGCCCTTTGATAAAGTGACAGTGATTCCTTCCACTTGGAGATAGAATCTTGTCGGAGCTGGCCCTTTAAGAGGTGCAATAGAAATGATGTGATACGGTTTCCAAACTTAAGAGAACTTGAAGATTCCATTTCTGTCCTCCTGGTGCCAGCTACCATGTACAAAAGTGTGCTAGGTTGGCCATGTGGTAGCCGGGAGTTGTGGCACATGTCTGTAATCTCAACACTTGGGTGGCTGGGGCAAGAGGATTGCTGTGAGTTTTAGGCCAACCTGAACTATGTAGTGAGATCATGTCACAACAACAACAACAACAACAACAACCACAACCACAACCATAACCACAACAGAAAAGGCCATGTGGTGAGAAGAGGCCCTGCAGGGTACGAAACCAGGAAAGAGTCTGAGGTGTAGCTCAGGGGTAGAGCTTGTGCTTAGCATGTGTGAGGCCCTTGACTCAATTTCAAGCACAGAGAAGAGGAGGGTGGAGGAGGAGACCCAGTGGAGGAGAACTGAGGTTCCCCAGGTGGCTTTCAGGATCAATTGTTAGACACATGAGTGAGGCCATCTTGGTTCCAGCCCAGGGCTCACTCCCAGTACAATGCAGCTCTGTAACTTCAGCCAACAGGAACACTAAAACCTTCCTCTGAGCCCAGCCCACTCATGGAATCAAGAAAAATAACAAGTTGACATTGTTTTAAGCACTAAATTTTGGGGTAGCTTGTCACACAGCAATAAAGACTTGAAAGTCTAGGTAGAGGTGGATTATTCACAGGTTCCTCATGGAAAAAGATGTCACTTGTAGAAAATGTATAGAGTGGTTATTTGGTTGCTGATGAGCACTTGACACAAAGGTGAACCATCCCATACTCAGTGGTTCTGACTTATGTGGCTGGCTTAAAGAGACAATGTGGGCCCATCAAATCCCAGTTCCTAGGGAACTGGTAACTGGGAACCGGGAACTGGGTAGTCAACCTCAAACATGACTGGAGATGCTGTGAAATACAGTTGGCTCCCAAAAGACCCAGATGCGGCAGGCTGCAGTTATACAGAATGTCAAGCAGAAGTAGGGGAGAAAGTCTCTGCTCGCAGAGTGAGCCAACCAGCACACTGACTTTCCATGGCTTTCCTCACATGGCTTCAACGAAGGCCTCACAGAAGGAAGTTGATGGCTGTGGGTTTTGCTTGACCTAGCCACATTTCCCAGCCTCTTCTAGTAACAAGCCCTGCCTCCCTGACTCCCCAGTGAAGGAGTGCCTTATGACCAAGACCTGACCAGGGATGACCGTGTGACCACCTTTGGGCAGTCCTAAAGGATGCGGGGAGATTTGGCTCTTTTTCCTCTGGGGTTATTGATTTGGGATGATGTAAGCTGGGGGCCCATCTCTCCCTGTGGCAGTGAAAGGACATGGAGGAAGTCCATCTGGAGGACAACCAGGTCACAGAGAAAGAGGCAGCTGCAGGGAGGGAGAAGGTACAGCACCGAGCCTCTAATCCAGCCGGGCAGGAACTTCCCAGTTACATAAGCTGAGCTGATAAACCTCCCTTTTCACTTAAACTCGTGCTTTGCTCACCTGTAACCAAAGGTCATGGCTAATATATTCCCCTTTACTCGCACAGACATGAGGAGACCTCTGCTGCTTGCCATTAAGAAATCCTGCCCAGACTCTGGCTCAGTCCCTTTAAAGAGCTTCCCCTGGACCCTCTTTGGAAGGGTTAGAGAACTGGATCCTCAGCATTTCTTTTTAGCTTTCTGGGCTTCTGGCCATCCTCTCTGGCTTGCCTGTCACTTCCTGAGAGCAGGCTGGGTGCAGGGGTTCCCTGGCTCTGTATTCCAGGGTTCCAGCCAGCACTTTCCCTCCAGGTCTGGCGTTTCTTCAGATAAGTAAACTGGGAACAGATCCCGCACCTGAACTGCTCTCTGGGCCATCCTGCACAGCATGTCTGCCCCTGTTGGCTGGCATTTATAAGGATCCTGGGCAGATGCCACCTCCTCTGTAAAGGCATCTCTTCCCTTGGCCCTTTACTGATCCCTGCCACTGTCAAGCAAGATCCTTCCTCCTCTGAAGCCCAGAGTTTGTGGTTTTCTATCTCCCCTTTTTGCAATCTGATTTGGGTTCCCGCCCACAGCTCAGAAACCATAAGTCATGTTGGGAGACTTGAGTTCAAGTTCCAGATTTACCAATCTCTGAGCCTTCATTCCCTTGTCTTAAAAAAATGAGACATAGTTGGGCGTAGTGGCATACACCTGTAATCCCAGCACTTGGAAACTGAGGCAGGAGGATCGCAAGTTCAAGCCTAGCCTGGGCAACTTAGCCACTAAGTGAGACCCTGTCTCAAAAAAAGTGGGGCTGGGAGTGTAGCTCAGTGTGAAGGCCCTAGGTTCAATCCCTAGTACCACAAAGCAAAACAAAACAAAATGAAAACCCCTTAAATGTGCTCTGCTGACTGTGATAGCATACCCAGGAGGAGTCAGCTGAGGGTCTTGAGGGCTTCACAGAGGATGAGGCCACTGAGGCAGGGGAATATGTGACCCAGGAAAGGGCACTGGCCTGTTGTGTACAAGTTCAGAGGCCCAAGTGACTCCTTGGGAAAATGGGGGGAGATGGGAGGGAAGGGGATAATTCAAGGTGGTTCGAGTGCAGGGTACAAGGGTGTGATGTGAGACAGGAGCAGGGTTCTGAGGTCAGCGGGTGCCAATCACGTGGGGCCTTGAGGGAAGTTTCAGGAGCAGATCACCCCAAGGGCAGAGAGAGCTCTTGCACAGCTGGCGTGGCCAGGAGTGCATTCAGAGAAGACTGTGCTAGCTTCTTGGTGCCAGTGAGACCAGACAGAAGGCAAGGCTGAAAACAGGAGATGGACCAATGTGATTGGGTGAAAGATATGAGGGACCCCGGGGAAAGGCAACCCGAGCCATTTGCACTGCCGCGGCAGGGGTAGGACTATGGCGTCTCCCCTGTGTGGATTGGCTTCAGCTGGGCACAGCGGCCTCGGGGCCTCGGGTTCTCAGGCTTCTGAGTCACCTCCTAGGGTTCATGGTTACCCCAAGGCCAGGTTAGCCTCCTTCCTCTGTCCTAATTGCTTCCTGCCAAGGGAGCTGCCCCCTCCAGGTGTCCTTGAGGAAAACCTTGTAAAAGCAATCAAGCGTTCAGAAAGAAGCAGGTACCTCCGGCTGCGACCGCCCCCAACCCCTGCAGGGAGTGGCACTGCTCTGGATGCTGGGCTGTTCTGAGAGGAGCACTCCATCCCCACCCCTGTTCTCCCACAGCTGGGCCAGTTTAGGGGTCTCAGGGCTGGAATCCTGTGGGTGGAGGAACAGGCTTGCCTTGAACAGCGGACAGGTGAGGCTCGCTGAGCTCCCTGGCATCACAAGGCTGCATCTGTACATAAACAGGGGTGTTTTTCTAAATAAGCCAAAGGTGCCACGCACTGTCTAGCTGCATACTTACGGGGCTGCTTCCACTCCAAGAGTACCTTTTTTCTTCCTTTCCTTTCCTCCCTTTCCTCTTTCCTTCTTTCCTGCTACCAGGGATTAAAACCAGGGCCTTACACTGAGCTACATCCACAGCCCTTTCTAAAAAATTTTTATTTTGAGACAGGGTTCCAACTAAATTGCTAAATTGCCCAGGTTGGATTTAAACTTGTGATTCTCCTGCCTTGGTCTCCTGGAAGGCTGGGATTATATGCATGTGCCATCACACCCAGTTGTACCGTTTCTTTATTTGTGCAAAGGGCAGCATATGAACTAATTCCTCCCAGGCTCTTGGCTTTTCTTCCCACTGGCCACTATCCCCTCGTTTGGGTTCTTGTGATAACTTCCACCGGACAGAGAGAAAAATTAAGTTCCCACGCTTGCTGCCATTAGCTTCCTTTTGGGGGGAAATGCTGTGCTGTGTCCAGTCTGGCTCAGATGATTGGATCAAGAGAAGACCTTTGACCTAGGGGTCATCCCAAAAGCTAAGCCAACCCAAGTAGATCCTGTGGCTTGAGAACTGGAACTAAAAGACAGAATGGAGATGTCCATCACTGCTAGGTCTTGATGCAGAGATGGAGATGCAGCCACTCTGTGCAGGGAAGCCAAGCAAGTATGAAGAGAACACAGATGCAGATACTGTGTATGGGAGAAGAGCCTACAAGCTTAGAGGGCCAGTCCTATGCCCTTGAGACCCAGCCTCCCTGACTTTCCATCTCCAGGGTCCCTTTTGATCTGCTCCCCTCTTTCTTTGATGCAAGTGGGTTCCTGTGCCTTGAGACCAGAGTCCTTGCCAGAACAAAGACCTTGGCCTCAGGAGATCCCTGAGGTGTCCCCACTGTATGGGACCCCTAAATTTCTATCACCCCTACCCCAGCCCCACCCCAGCAGGAAGAGCACAGGTCTCAGCACAGTCACATCTTTTATTCATTGTCAGTGGGAAACACACACAGCACACGGCACAGGGGTGGACAGTGAGGCAGTCACTGTGGGCACAGCACATCCTCAGTGGATGGGGCGACACCAGGGAACTCGTGGTGAGTTGGGGCCCTTCTGCCACACAGCCCCTCAGCTTCCCCAGGCACACTGCTGCTGCTGCTGCTGCTGCTGCTGCCCTGGCCTGACTGGCTGGTCCCTAAAGGAAGGGGCCACACCTGGATGCCCTGTCCTGCCCCCACACTCCCGCAAAGATACAAAGAAAACCTTGAAGTTTTCAGAAAGAAAATCTTATATTTTTCTGAGACTCTTAAATTGAAGATTTGAATGATTTCTTTTTTCAAGAATGATGAATAAAATATGTAAGAAATGAATTTTTGTGCCTACAGTGATCTCTAAAATCAACACAAAGCCTCACCCAGGGTGGATCTTCAGGAAATATTTGTTGCTTTAATAAACTTTCTGTGTAAAAATATTTACAATGTCAGCTTGATAACCTGCCTAGAAACACCAACTTCTTCCCCGATTCTCTTTCTACCCCACACTAACTTTTCTCTCTGCAGCAGGGTGGTTTTCTGTCTCTAGGGATTCCCATTGCCAGGCAAAAGAAAGGATTTGGTGCCTTTGCTTGTGAACTGATTTTTTCTGAATTTTTGACTCAAAGGTAAGTTAAATAATACTGACTATAGTTCTGAGGACTGGAGCGGTCATCTGAAGAAGCCTGTGCTGATGACTTTTGGAGATAAAAACTAAAAGTCCTATCAATTAACCCAAAAAGATGAAATGAGGACAGGATACGTGAGAAGGCATATTCTGGAACCTCGTAATTCAGAGTTGCTGTAAGACGATACAAAATTTCAAGGGGACTTTGGCTATACCAGTGACTTAACTGTCTGACTATTTTTGTGCCTGTGTAAGCTATTATAAATCTCTGCTTGATGGCAAGCACCTCTGACCTGAAGCCGAGATGGAGGGCCTGTCCCTCTTCTCAAAGCAGGGCTAGTGCTCCACCACATGAGCTCATGGGCACACAGTCCTTGTGATACCCAAAAGAATGTGGGAGCCAGGCCTGGCCTGCCTGTGTCTCCCTGCCACCACTGAGAAGATGGTCTCACACTGGCCTTGCATTGGGTTCACTCTGCTGGGCTGTCTGAAAACCCTTGGTCTGACCACCACACATCACCCATGCATGGGTACATGTCCAGCAGCCTGGTGGAGCATGCTCTCATTGGTAGGACTTGCCTACCAACTTGGAAAAAACAAAAATCATTCTCCTAGGGAAGAAGATGGTGGTAAAGACAATGCAAGACACTTTCCAGGGTTCTCAGTCAGAGGTCTTTAAGGATAGCATTGGCCTATTAGCAGCACTGTGCAGAAGCCAAACACAGGATGCCTGAAAATGTAGGGCACTCCAACTGAGTCCCTATTCCTTTTTGAAAGACCTTAGCTTCAGGAACTTTAGCAGAAAGCTTACAGAAGACGAAAGCCAACTTGGCTTAACCCACAGCCGGCCTCTGCACAAATCAGACGCGCAAATGAGCAAGGAAGAGAATGCTTCTCTTAGTGAGCCTGGGTTCAAGTCCTAGCATTATATCACTTCCTGACTATGTGCTCCAGAACAAAGGGCTCCCCCACCTCTGAACTGTAGCTTCCAAGTCTGGAGAGAAAAAATGAAGATCCCTATCTCCCTGGGCTGTGAGGATTGAATGAGATGGGGCAGAAAGAAAACCTTTGAAAGCCATGAAATTCCATGGGACTGGGAGTTAAGCTTGATTCAGGGCAGGAACCCTGTTTAGCAAAAAGCTTTTCACCAGAAGATTCAGTCTGGGTATGGGGCATTTATGTATCTGTGGTGCTGACTGACAGCACAAGACACACCTAATACCCAGTTCCTGAGAGTGATGGAACATCCTTTGAGGCATTACTAGATAAATACCTGCTAGCTACTATCTGAGGATATGAATTCTCTAGCCTCACCATGTGATTTGGTCATAGGCAGGACAGAACAAGGTGGCAACCCAGTGACCTTGCAACCTCCAAGGGTCACAAGAAGGAAGGTCCAATAGCGCTTGGGACCATAGGTCAGCATACTCAAGTTTCCACCTGCACAGTCAGGACAGGTGAGCATTTGGAAGTCAGGGACAAGCTGCATCACTTTCCTGCAGACACCTTTCCCACCATCACATGCCCTGGCTCTGCAGTCATTCCCCACTCCCACCCTGGGGGGACAGCATCCTTGTACTAGACTGTTTTTACCAACAGTTCAAGAGGAAGTCAACTGTCACTGTACATCAAAGCTAATTTTTGATTACAAGTACAGGAGAAAGTAAAGGGAACAACTTGATGGAGAAGCAAGATGAATTTTTCTGGCAGTCAAAGCATGCAGCTGTAGAGCTCATAGATTCAAAAATCAGAAAGCAAAGCCAGTGCACTAGGAAGGTGCAGATCTAGGCCTAGGGGTTAAGAAAAGCCTTTCAAATGGAACACACCCAGTACAGTTTTAGGCGTTTGGTCTATGAATGCAGCCTGGGAGCTTAATCAATAGCCAGGTGGTCCTTTTCTTCTAGCTCCTTCTGTATCTGAGGCAGTGAACGAACAAGCCCACCCCAGAAACCAAACCAAACTCAGAAACAAACCACCAATGTATGGGATATACACTTGTCCCACTCCTGGTAAATGCTGCCATTTCTGTCTCTGAAGTCAGCACCCAAAGTGTGCAATAAAGAGTCACTTGTTGAATTGAAAAAGGTAATAAAAAGAAAGCAGCAGAAGCAGCAAAAACTGCTGATGGTGACAGCTCAGGACTCAGCCTGACTCCCACCGCCAAAGGGTTATCTGTTAGGTACGGTGGTATTTCCTCCCCTTTACCTCTCTTTTCCCCCTCTGAAAATTAGCATTTCTATATTCATTTAATCATTTTCATAAGAAACCAAGTAATATAGAGTATATTTAATATTCTAACTTAATAAGATGATTTTGGCTCTTTTAAAGGGTACTAAAAAAATAAGAATTACATAGATTTTCACTTTTCTTAAAACCTCCATTCACATGGCTCCTAAATGTCTGAGTTCTTTCCACCTGGGTGGAGCTGGAAGACCCAATAGTGCCTTTCAAACCAGCCAAACTTCCTCCCACTTCTTCTCAGCTGGGCACAACAACCCTCTCAGAGACCGTGACCACCGGAAGTTGCCCCTTTATGAGCTTCCAGAGGGCAAGGAATATGTCTTGTAAAATACCATAGTCTTAGCACCTAAAGGTGCCTGGCATTAAATAAGTGCTCAATAAACATTAGCTGAAGAAAGGACTGAATGAACACTCTGAAGGCTGTGGGCCAGAGAGACCAGACAGAGTCAAAGGGGCAGGGCAGAGACCACATTTAAGGGATCTGAGTCCTTAGGAAAGGACAGACCCACTTTGGCCCTTTGGAGCCCTGAGAGACCCCATTCCATAAAGCACAATCCCAGGAACAACAGGATTTCAAAGCAGAACCCAACCCCCCTCCAAACTCTGCCTTTTAGGGTAAAAGCCAACTCCCCTATGGCCAATAGATGTTGGTTCTGGGCCAAGGCCGGGGATGGGACTAGATGACAGGCTATCCAAGGACCTGTCTCCTTTACAGGGTTAGGTGGTCCCTCAGGGAACTTGACTGAGGGGAGGAAGGGTTTGGGCAGTGGAGTGGGTAGACTGGAGAGTGAGGCTAGAGTGTCCCTCCCCCTGGGGAAAAGCCAGCCAGAGAGGTCATCAGGTTGGGAGGTGGCCTTGCCCCTCCTGGCCAGGGGCTCTGCCCCTCACCAGCCTCTACTTCTGCATGTCGCACTGCAGCAGCAACACAATAGATGGGTCACTCTTGGCCGCCTCCTTGAACTCTTCCAGTGTGATCTGGTCATCCTTATCCTGGTCCATCTTCTTGAAGATCTTGTCTACACGCTGCTGGGGTGTGAGCCCATCCTGGTTCATACGCATCATGATCACAGTGCCTACCATCTTGTAGATAGCCTGCAGTGGGGACGAGAAGGAAGGTGTGAGCACCCACACAAGGCAGGGAGGGTCGAGGGTGAATAAGAGGGCCCTGGGAGTGGGCGGGAAGAACACTGGGGAATGGTGAGGGTACTGGAAGGTGATATGTGGCCATCAAGACGGAGTATTTGGGCTGGGGATTTAGCTCAGCGGCACAGGGCCTGCCTGGCAAGCGCGAGGTCGTGAATTCAATTCCCGGTACTGGAAAACGCGCCCCCCCCCCAAAAAAAAGACTGAGTATTTAATGAGTACCTCAAACAAAGCACATCTCAAACACAATTCCTCACTCCAGCCTATGCCTCCTCCAGAGTTCCGTCTCAGTGAGCAGCTCTCCTATTCTGCCAGTTATTCAAACTCCAGACCTAAGTCATTCTTCAGTCCCCTCTCCACACTCTGCAGCCAATCCTCCAAGGAACCTTGGCAGCCTTGATTTTGCCAGCGATCCCACCCCCACCCACTTCCTACCCCTCCACAGCCCCTGCATGTGTGCAGCCTCCACCAGCTGCCCCAGAATTCCCCTTCGTGGTCACCCTGCTGCTGCTGCCCTCTCCCCTCACCTGTTCTCCATACTCAGAACAAACTCAAAGCTTCTACCCGAGTCTGAGAGGCACAGTATTGGGCCCCTGCTCCTTATCTGACCTCCTTAGGGTCACTCTCCCCTCTACTCCTTCCTCTCCTACTAACCTGGCCACTGGCCACTCCCTGAACTTGCAAACAAAATCGCACCTGCATTTACTGCTCCCTTTGCACAGGCATTGGGTTAGCTCCTCGCCTGATTCGAGCTCACTCTTTCCTTATTCTGCTTATCCTCTTCATACTGCTGGCCAACAAGGCACTAGGTTTAACTTTTAAAATTTTTCACTAGAAGGAATCCCCCTGAAAGCAAGAACTTTGTTTTTTTCAGATGTTGTTGTTTGCTTGCTCGTTTTTTGAGACAGGGTCTCACTATGTAGTTCAGGCTGGCCTTGAACTAAGTGTGTAGCATAGGCTGGCCTCGAACTCACAGAGATCCTGCCTCAGCAGTGCTGGGGTTGTACAGGTGTGCATCAGTATGCCTGGCTGAAAGCAGGAATTTTGAACAGTACCTGGCATGTAACAAACAGTCAAAATTTATTAGCCTAAAGAATAAATAAGTTAAGAATGTAAACTGAGCTGGACTTGGTGGTACATGCCCGTAATCCTAGCACTGGGAAGGGTGAAGCAGGAGGACCATGAGCTCAAGGTTAGTCTGGACTACAAAGCAAGATCTTATCTGAAAAAAACAAAACCAGGACACCACAAAACAACACTAACAACAAAAACCCTTAGAGTCTGGAGTCAGGCTCCCCTGATTTGAATCATAAACAGCCACTTGCTACCATTTCCTTGTGTGTGTGTGTAAAATGGGGCTTCTGACAGTGGCTGCCCCTTATGTAAAACAGCCCAGGGCTTGCAATGGATCGCTAGACCCTGGGTGGGGAGAGCTGGGGCATAGCAGGAGCTCCCCAGGCCTGGGCACCCCCTTCCCCGCGCACCTCGATGATCTCCAGCATCTCAAGGCGCGTGATGCGCCCGTCGCCGTCCAGGTCGTACATCTCAAAGGCCCAGTTGAGCTTCTGCTCGAAGCTGCCGCGGGAGGTGACCGACAGGGCGCAGATGAACTCCCGGAAGTCGATGGTGCCGTCGCCGTTCTTGTCAAAGGTGCGGAAAGCGTGCTGAGCAAACTTGGAGGCGTCGCCGTAGGGGAAGAACTGAGGCCGGTGTGGGCATGGGGCACACGTCAGATTCTCCTCACCTCCCCGCTGCCCCCACCTTCCTGGGCGCCCGTCCCACCGCTCTTGCCCCCTTAGGAACTGGGGTCCCGGGGTCCGCCTGCACTCACCTTGATGTAGAGCTGCTGGAACTCCTCCAGGTTGAGGATGCCACTGGGACAGTCCTTCAGGAAGCCTTTGTACCACTGCTTCAGCTCCTGCTCACTGAACTCTGTGTTCTGCACCAGGTCCTCCAGCACCTCGGGGGCCAGCTTGCTGTTGGTCTTCCCCATGGCAAGGCCTAGAGGACAGGGAGTTCCCTCAGCTTGGCCCTGGGCAAGGCCCTCACATTAGCAGGATTCCCCAGGCCCCTCCCCCGCCCCCGCCACAACACACCCTTCCATAGGGAGCCTGACTTCCTAGCCAGGATCCTCTTTATCAACAGGGTCTCCTCCTTTGGCCACGCAGCCCAACAACTCCCATCAGGGTACAGCAAGGCTCTGGCTTTCTCCCACCCCTCCCCATGGGAAGCCCACCTTCCCTGGTCCATGGTCCCTGCCCAGCATACCCCTCACACCTCCTGCCTTAACAGCACCACCTCTCCCCCCGACAACACCCTGAACCTCAAGAAAGCTCCTCTGAGCCTGAGGAGCTCCAGCCTTCAAGATCTCAGCTGGCCCTGCTGGTGACCCCTGCTGCGGCACACCATGACCTCCATTCTCACCTCTCCTCTTCCACCTTCCATAGCTCCCCACACCCATAGCACAAAGCTTCAACTCCTCTTCTTGCTGTGCAGGGATTTCTGCTTGCAGCCCCCTCCCTCCTGGGCAAGCTCCTCTCCTGCTAGGACCAAAGGCAGGTTTCTTATGTGTGTCCCTGACACCGCCTCTCAACGCCTTTCCAGCCACTCCCTCCTTCCTGTGTACAAGTAGGAATCTTAGCCTAGAGCACTGATGACTCTGAGGTACAGTATGCTTTTGATTAACTCCTTCGTCTCCAAAGCATTTATTGAGACTGACTATGTGCTAGGCCTTGAGCTAGGGATGGGGACAAAGCCAACACAAACCAACCAGCAGGAACTCATAATTGAGCCAAACAGGTGGAAGGCTGACTGTAGTAGGCCTTCCATCCATGCCAAGTACCCACAGGGAACAGAACCTGGAGGCTTTTAAGCAAGGGTTGTAAAACTAACATTCATTGCACAATATTTACATGTTGCTTCATTATGCCAGGTCTTAATCTTGGTGCTGGGGAGCCAGAGAGAACACAAACATGTAGGGAAGTTTTCCTTTGGCTACAGTGTGCAAGATGACTTGTAGGGGAGGTGGGCAGGGCAGGGAGGAACCGGTTACACAGTTTAGGTGACAGATGATGATGCTGGGACAGGAGCTATCGAGAGAAATGGATGGACAGAGAGATCCTAGGACAGGGCTTGGTGACTGATTGGATGTTAGGGTGTGAGTGGGAGAAAGGTTGAGGCGAATGTTCAGATTTGGGGCTGAATAGATAGAGTGGTTGCTTCTGAGAAGGGGAGGTCAAGTCAGCCCTCAGCCCCTCATGTAGCCTGTGCCAGAGAAAACATTTGCAGAGGGAGGTACGGGGCCTTCCCGGAAGACTGGACACTTCTGCTGGTTACCATGGAGATCATGAAGCCTGCGTTTCCCAGGACACAGTTTGGGACATGCCTTTCACCTGCCTGGAGTTTCTTTAGCTGTCCAGGCTCCCACTGCTGGTAAACTGTCCTCAAGATACACTGAAAAAGGAAGCTCTTTAGCAAAAAGAATTATACATCTGCAGCCACCCATGCCAGTGTGGTCTCTAATCCTTACTTTTGGGCATGCCCTGAGTCACCAGATCAGTGTGTGGACAGTTTCATGCCCCCACCCTTTTGCTGGGCAACTTCCAGTTCGTTATAATATATCTCTGGCACTCACGCTCCTCCACCCGGCCACGAAGATCAAGGAGCAGCAAAATGCTGCAACATCCTTCTTTACCTACCACCCCCAGAGGGTGAGGCATCCCATTCCCTCAGGAGAGCTGGCGGGTGGGGAGGCTGCCATCTCCAGGAGCTTGGGGCTGTGGAGCCCAAGACAGCTGCACTGGGGTCAGAGTCAAAGGTACCCCTGGCACACCCATGGGCAGAAGGAGGCAGTGTTTCTGGTTGCTCCCTCTTCAGGTTCAAAGATTTTGCAGGCTCAGGGTACCGGGGAAAAAAGCTGGAGAACCCAGAGGCAGAGGTGTGTGCTGGGGGAGGCAGAGCCTCTCCCTGTATCTCACATGCGGTTGCCTGAGTGCCTGCCTGAGGGACCGGGACTGTGTGGGAGGGTGTCAGTGTATGAGACTGAAAATCTGCCAGAGTGCGCACGTCTCCGTGTGTGTCGTCGTGTCTGTGTGTGGCCCTCATCTCCTGCCCCTTTCTCCTGCCTCTCTGTGCTGCCTTCCCCCCAACTCTGTTCTATCCCTGTCCCTGTTTAGTCCCATGCCCAACGAGGCCTAGGCCTTCCTCCATTTCTTCTCAGCTCCTCTCCTGCTCTTGGTCCGTCAGGTCAAAGCTAACAGTGCCTTCTGAGGTCATCCTCTTATTTTAGTGACAAATGAAACTGAGAGAAGAGAACACTGGTTCAAGGTTACCCAGCGGGTCAGCGAGGGAGCCTGGTGAGCACCCATGCTGAACCCTTGCCACCTGCCTGGACCACCTTCTCCACATCATGGCTACTCTAGCTCACCACAGACCTTCTCCACCCCCATTTGCCTTCTGCAAAAATCAGGATCTAATCTCCCGTTTGGCCTCAGTGGGATCATCTTGCCTGACCTCCAGGCCATGATCTCTGGTATCCAGAAATATCCACTTTAGTGCTGGTACCACTAGTACTTGAATAATCATATCTACAGCCACTCACCCTCAGCCTGAGGCGATCTGTCTCTCTTCATTGCCTCTTCCCTCTTTCCCTCATCCCTGGGTTCTGGGGGGAAATATGATCTGTAAACTACTTCAGATTGCCCCCTCTCCCTCTCCCCCAGGTTCAACTTGCCATCAAGTCCCATGGTTTCTTCTTTTGAAACACTCTTGGAATCTTCACTATGTCTATGGCCAGAAGCACAGCTATGGGGCTGAAATCTACCCGGGGCTCCGCTTGCAAAGCCAGGCCCATGCCTGTGAGGCTCATCTGCCTTGCAGGAAGTCCCTTCCTTCTTACGCCCCTATGCCCCCAGAATGCCTCTCCCCATCCCGCAGATATTGCCATATAGGGTAGAGGTAGCCATGCTTGTGAACCCTTTGACTTCAGAATTTTCTAGAATCTGGTCTCAAGGTGTCCACCTGGTAGCCTCACCTTCCACTGCTCCCCTTTACTCTTCTTGAGCCAGGCTTCTCACAACAAGAACCTGCACCATCTACTGCTTAGCTAGTTCCCTCGCCCCTGCCATCCTCTCTTCTCCTCTGGGCCAACCCAAGCTGCATTCAGCCTTCAGGGCCTGGCTGAAACCTGCTTCCTTATCAGCCTTTTCAAGCCTGGGCAGTAGCCAGGCAGCAGCATGGGCTCAGCACTCTGGGCATGAGTAGACCATGGGAAGCAGGGAAGTGGAACCCCCACAGCCATGAAGCCCTCTGGCCCTCATCTGGTGCTCTCGGATTTCGAAGAGGCCTCTGCATTCAACCCCTGGCTGAGCCAGGGAAAGTTTTCTGGGGCTTTCTGCTCAATGGTAAAGAGTTTATCCCCTTCTAGTAGGATCCAGAACACTTCTAAGCAGCTTGGACAGAGAGAGAAGTGCTTTTCCCATTGTTCCTGAGTTAGCTGTCATGCAGCCGTCACCCATAGGCTCCGGCCCTGCCCTCTGCATCTGCACAGAGCCCATTGCTGAGACCTGAAAGAAGTGCCTAGGGCTCAGCCATGTCCAGTGGCTGTCTCTTCGTAGGTTATGTGAGAGGACCAGTGCCCCCTTTTCCTCCTTGAAACTATGTCGCCCTGTTTTGTTTATCTGTGCTCTACTGCACCTCTTGGAAATGATGGAACTCAGAGCCAGGGAAAGGAAGGGTTCACCCAAGGTCAACTAGAGCCCATCTGCAGCAAATTGAAGGCCAGAACCTAGCCAGGGGCATGTTTTGTTGGAGCTGTAGCCTCTGAAGCCTGTCTTCCAGCTCAGAAGTCACTGGCCCAGGCCCAAACACAAAACCACTGCCCCTCCGTGGTTAGAGGCATCTTCGAGAGCACTCAGGGCTGTGGGCTTCAAATGGAGAAGTGGCAGTGAGATTGGGAGGGACTGAAGGAGGCAATAATCCCACACCCTCGCCCAGCTTCAGAGGAGCTGGTGCTGAGGCGGTTGCCATGGTGACAACAGCTCCCTGGTCAGGAGATTTTCTCTCTTTTCTCTCCTCCCTTTGCTGTTCTCCAAGCAGCAGCAACAGCAGTAGTAACCAGGTCTTCTTCTTCTCCTTTTTAAGGAGAAGTGACAAAGGGTAAGCCCTGTTGGCCACCTCCAGTTTTGAGCTGTGCATGCCAGGGGTGGGCTGGTTGTCCAGGAGAAACTCCTAAGAGAAGGAGATGGGAGGGTATGTGGGAGAGGGTGGCTTGAACCCACGCCTGGGTAAGATCCAATACCCCTCAGTGAGAATGGAAGCCCTTAGGCCTCTATTCTGAAATGTGCTAGTGGTTCAGAGCCCTGTTCTCCCAAATCAGTCATCAAACCAGAGTCTGTCAGTTGGAAGGCTGTTCAAGATCACCTCAACCAGTTCACCCTCATTCTTGTCCCCTTCCCTGTATTGTGAAAGCTCAGAGAGAGAAAAGTGACTTGGCCACTGAGCCAAAGGCAAAATTTGCACCCAGGTCTTCTGCCTTCCAGGTTCAGGCCACCTTAAGGAAAGGAGCCACGCAGACTCCGTGGGGCTTAGCAGGGTCCCTGCCGGGCAGCAGGAAGATAACAGCGAGAGGGGCGACTACCAGAGTGGAAAGTTGGATCAGAACGACCTGGGAGGTGGGATGAGGGGACCTGGGATTCTGGCTGTGAGGGAAGCAAGCAGAAGAAGCTGTGGAGGGTGGAGTCCGGGCACTGACCAGTGGGGTACAGGTGCTCCCTGAGAGTAAGGGCATCCCTGCTTCAATCTCCAGACAGGAGAAGAGGCCAAAAATGGGGCCACTGCCTGCTACGGGGGGGGGGGGGGCGGCCACTGGACGTGCCTCTGCTACGAATGTCTGCCAGCAGGACAGGAGGGGAGGGGTCCCTTCTTCGCTCCTTCAGGTCCGCTTTAGAAACGGAAGTGGGGATGATGTGAGCACCGAGTGGGCTTTCTAGAAGTGGGGCAGTCTTTGGGTGGTGTGAAGGGCGGTGAACTGGGGCTATGAGTGGGGGCTATGTGGAAGTGGGAGGCTGCCACAGAGCTGGGCAGGCCTCTTCTCTCCAAAGGTAACAGGAGGGAGGGTGACTTGCGCCTCCTTGAGCACCAGCTACACCCCAGCCCCAGGTGCCGGTGGGGGGGGCGGGTACCTGCGGGCTGAGCAGTGGTTGTGTTGGGGGTAAGGAAGCGGCTCTGCTTCCTCTCCTGGACTCAGGGGACGGCCTGAGGTAGAGGTCCCCTGCCCAGGGCCTGGATCTCCAGATGCTGCTGCCTGTGGCGGACCTAGGGTCAGCGACGGATCAAGGGGCAGGGGAAGAGGATGGGAAGGAAAAGTGGAGGGGGAGGGACCCATGGCCTCCGCCCGGGGGTGACTCCAGGAGCCCAGCCCCACCCGCATTACCTGAGGCCGCTAGCCGGTCGCTGGATGGTTCCGAGCCTCGGCAGCGGCGGGGAAGAAACAGGCTCGCGGGCGGGCGACTGGGGTGTCCAAGGTCCGCGCTGGAACCGCCTCCCAGCTCTTGTATCACTAAGTGCCTCTCGGAGGCAACAAGATTTGCACAAGACCCGCCCCATCCCGGGCAGTATGGACGTCGATTGGCTCTGTTGGGGCCGAGTGGCAGGCGGGGTTCCAGGTGGAGCTAGGGTGGGCGGTGAAGAGTAGCTAAGGGAGCGCGCCTCGCCGGCCCGCGCTGACCTTCCCTGAGTCGCCAGGGTTGCGGGGAGGCTTTACCCCCACCTATACCCCAACCTTGAGGCTCAGACCCCGGTGCGCAGTCTAGAGTGAAAAGTACGGATGACTGAAGCGGATTCGCAAAAACAACCGCACCGTTGCTATGGAAACGGGAGAACCGCCGCCGAGTCTGCAAGCCTTCTCTTCCAGCGCCCGGGTGGTGGTGGGGGTGGAAGAAGGGGTGACTCACAAGATGAGACCCTCCCCCCATATTCCTACCCGATATTGGAGGGAGACAAAGACGAGCTGCCGAGCGCCATGGTAGCGGGGGAGGGGACCGGGTAGTTAGCAGCTCGGGCTTTAGCACACCAGCGCCTCACGCTCCCCTCCGCCGCCCGGCTGAGCTGAGGTGGCTGCGCGCGCCGGGCGCAGTGTGGCCGCGAGGAGCCCACCTCCACCAGTCACTCCCTGCAGCCACCGCTCCAGCCCAATTCAGAGCCCTTCCTAGACAGGCCCCATCTTTATTTCTCGAGGACCGGGATACCTCTCTCGTTCTGCCCCGGAAGGAGCCCTCCACCGACCCCATGGACCCCTCCATTCCCCACCCTCCCGTGTTCCCGGCGCACGGACGGAGCCGGTTCCCCGCTGCCGCCAGTCTCCGGCCTCGGATGTTGATACAAACCCGAGGCGGTTTACACTGAGCGGGTCTGGAAGGTTTCAGGGCCCCGGGAACACCTCCTCCCCGCATTCGGGGGTCTCCCCAAAGCCTAGCCTGGCAGCTCAGATCGCAGAGACTTCTGAGAGCTCGCGACCCAAGGCGTGGAAAAGGAAAGCAATCCTTTCATGCCAGATTAGGGGAGAAGGGAGCAGCTCTCCTTGGGCTCGGCCACGTGCGAGGGCGGGACTTGAGGAAATCTATCAAAAGTAGGGGCGGGGCGTCCGGGGATTGGTCGAATGGGATCGCGGATGCCGAAGAGCAGGGTGAAGAAGCCGGGCTTCTGTCCAAGAAGCAAATGTAGTTGAGCGCCCCATGGGCCATGGGGGATGGGGATGGGGATGGGGACACAAATGCGTCCGCGGAGGAGAGGCTTCTGAGGCTGGTCCCAGAAACTCCTGGACAGGCCTCCCGGGGAGGCACCAGTGGTCCCTCTTCTTTAGGAACCAACCCATTCTTGGCTGAACTGATTTGACTGGTCCTTTGTCCTGGCTGCAGGATATGTTTCCTCTCTGGGGCCCTAACGGATTTAGGGTTCCAAGCAACCCAGATTTTCCTTTCCAAGTAGGAGGTGCATCCCTGTCACCTTCAGTGGATGACTTATAAAGGACTTATAAGGGACAGTCGTTTAAGAGACCCAACTGTTTCACTTCTCAGGCACTTCCTCTGCTCTGGACTCATGGGACACAAATTATGCTCCTTAAATTAACCATACTCCAAGCAAAGAGGTGGGGAGACAGCATGGGTTGTTGGAAATGGTATCCAAAACTCTAAAATGGAGTCCCACTTTTGCCAGTGATTCTGCACATTACCATGAGCAAAACCTTTCTAACTCTGGGCCTCCCAGACTGTAAAATGTGAGAACTGTTCCAGGAGATCCCATGGAGCTGGGGAAGAATTTCAGGTAGGAGGATGAAGAAAGTGTGGGGTAAGATAAAATTATGTGGGCATGAATCTGATAGCTCCACTTGTACTCCTGAGCCCCCAACAATAGCCAACATATACTGAGAGCTCACTCTGTGCCATGTGCTATTCTAGAACTTCACAGTAGTCCTCTTTTATTTGCAGTTTCACTTTATGTGATTTCAGTTACCTGGAGTAAACCATGGACCAAAAATATTAAATGAAAAAATTCCAGAAAGAAATAATGCCTAAGTTTAAAATTGTGTGCTGTTTTCAGTGGCATGATGAAATCGCATGCCATTCCTCTCCATCCCTTCATCCTGGCTGGACATGAATCATCCTTTTGTCCAGTGTTTCCATGCTGTATACACTACCTACCCGTTAGTCATTTAGATGGCTATAGTAGTACCTGTGTTCAAGTAACCCTTATTTTACTCATTAATAGCCACAATCAGAGTAGTGATGCTGGCTGTTTGTGTATACCAAAGAGAAGCCACAAAAGGCTTCCTTTAAAGCAAAAAGGTGAAGGTTCTTGATTTAAAAGGAAGGGAAAAAGATGTATGCCAAGATTAAGATTTACAATGGGAACGAATGTTCCATCTATGAGATTGTGAAGAAAAGAGAAATGTATGCCAGTTTTGCTTTCACACCTCAAACTGTAAAAGTCATGGCTTAATTAAAATGAAGTAGGTGGGGCCTGAGATATAGCTCAGTGGCATAAGCACCTGCCTGGCAAGGATAAATTCCTGAGTTTGATTCCTAGTACCCCTTAATAAATAAAAAAATAAATAAATAAAATGAAACAGGCATTCAGTGATAGGGTTCAGTATCATCTGCAGTTTATACATCCAATCGGCATCTTGGAACATACCCCCATGGATAAGGAGAAGGAATATATATGTATTCCCTAACTGATTTGCTGGAAGAACTCTATGAGGAGATGCTATTATTATTCCCACTTAACAGATAAAGAAATTGAGGCACACACAATTAGGTGACTGGGCCAAGTTCACATAGCAAGCAAATGTACAGAACTGAGATTTGAACCCAAGCAGTCTGGCTCTAGAACCCACACTCTTCACCACTACATGATACTGGTTCTCCTTAAGACCCTTCAGGCTCTTAAGGAAAGCAACCTTGGATTAGGATACTCATTCCTGATTTCCCAAGGTATTAGAAAGGCACAGGTTAACCTCCTGAAGCAGCTTCTTGGTTTCAGATGAACAAGACATAGGATTCCCACAGCATAGTAGAGCTGGCAGTAGTGACAACAGTGATAAATCCTCCTGACCTGGGGGCCAGGACATGGTTGTCTTCCTCTGAGCAGGACTACCCATGCAGCCTCACCTGTGGATTATCATGGCACCCTGTGACCAGTCCCCAGCTTCCAGCCATAACCCATTTGTGTCTGCTCATGAGGCTGGACTCAGGTCCTGGTCCCCTTGCGTTTGAGTTTAGAGCAATAACAGCTGACCTTGACAGAGTTCCTTCCATGTTCCAAGCTCTCCATCACATTTTCACTGCATCATTTCACTTATTCCCAAGGATGACCACTGTGGAAGGTCATCTCACCATATCTCACCATCTACCCAGGCTCTTAGTGTTACTACTCAGAATGGCTGTAGTGTTAGATTAAGGTCTTAGTATAGCTTGCTGTTCTGTCAAGAGTTAACACCCTAATTATGTGATCAAGAGCAGCAGAGAGAGGAGAAGTCAGTTTGGTAGGGGACCAAAGGCTATAATAACTTATTCACGGGTCAGTTGGAAGAATTTTGATGTTTTCATAACCAGTTCAGCTGTACTGGTGCATAGGAGGAGAATTTCAGTATCATTACTTTACTTCACGGTAGAAGATGGAGCTCAAGAGGCTAGACAATTTATCCACTGTAACTCAGCTCATTAGTCCCAGAGCTGTGATTCCAGCCTAGGTCTGGCACCAGAGCCCACACATTTCACTAGTGTTTATCCCGTGGACTCGGGGGTGGGGTAGCATGCAGGACTGGGCTGGGGCTCCCTCTGTCAAGCAGCTGAAGGCTGAGCCTGAGGCTTGTGGCTTATGTTCTGAGACTTTCTCATGGCCTTGCTGTTCTCAGGCCATGGCAAACACCTGTTGTGTGTAGAATGAGGATGTCCATGGGGAGCCAAGTGCGTGGAAGGACGGGGGCTGTGCAAACGACCTCAAAAGGGGCCACTGAGAGAACTGAGCCCAGCAAAGCTCCAGTGAGAGCAATGCCGTGGCCGCTTCATTTTGTTTCACCAAGTGCTGGTATTTCTCTCTTACCTGGTCTAGAGAGTATCTTTATGATGGATAATGCCTCTCTGATTCCCTGGGTTTTCTCTACCATGACTAGTGCAGCCTGGTGACAGCTGGAATTCCCCTGGGTCCTAGATAGTTCACTGTCTCCTTCATGGCTAGAAGTGAGATCACCAGAGTTTAATTATTTCCCTTTCTCCTATGAGGTAAGCAGGACTTTTTAAAAAAAATTCAAAAATAGAAATCAACCACTCTGCCTCTTTGTATCTCCAGTTCTTTGTGTGTGTGTGTGTGTGTGTGAATGTTTTTTTCTCTTAAATTTTTTAAAAAATTCATGTTATTGGCACATTTTAAATATACATAATGATCACATTCATCATAGGGAATTTGTACCTGTACATGGTATATCTTGATTCTTCTTTTTTCCCCAACTCTCTCCCTTCCCTTTAACCCCTCTTCCCCTCCTTATTTCCATTTTTCCTTCTATTCTCTTTTTTCTTGTCCTTTCTTTCCTTCCTCCCTACCCTATTCCTTGTTTCTCTTCTCACTTGAAAATTTTCTTCTCATTTTCAAATATCTATTACACATTTTGGTCCTATTTACACTTTTGATTTCTCACACCAGAGAAACAATGCAGTATTTAAATGTGTGTCCAATTTATTTCACTTAAGAATATGGTCTCATTGTGCATCCATTCAGCTAGAAATGTCTCAAATTTATCCTTTTTTATGGTAGAGTAGTACTCCATTGTATAAAAATAAACTACATCTTCTTTATCCATTCACCCATTGATGGGCATCTGTGCTGTTTCCAAGATTTAGCTATTACAAACTGTGCTGTTATAAACATGGGTGTGCATGTATCACTGTGGTATGATGCTTTTAATTCTTTCAGGAAGACACCAAGAAGGAGAATAGCTGGGTCAAATAGAACCTCTAGTTTTAATTTTTTGAGGAATCTCCACACTAATTTCCTCAGTGGTTGCACCAGTCTACACTCCTACCAAAAGCAGAAAA